AGTTTGATTCCATAAAAAGTGACAAAAACATTAGTGTCCGTTGTGCGTGGGAAGAAAACTTCTTTTTACAGTGAAAAAAAACCCTAAACTTACCACACTGTGAGTGTGGTAAAAAAAAAAATAAATCAATTATGACTCATTCACTTTGATTATTGATTTAGGAGCATGGTTTTATTCATTGACAGGTGTCCTGACACAGTAACATTTTTTAGGCTTTGTCCAACTTTTAGAGTTATTAAAATGAACTCTTCACTGAGTCTCATGTTGAAGTGTTTTTGGAGGATTTTTAATGGACTAATCCGATATTAATATTATGCCTTGCTGTGTGATAGCGACCATCCGATACGTTTGTGCTTCAGTTTTGGAGAATAAAAGTCTAATATTTCATTAGTCTATTACATAGCACTAATTAACAGATATGTGGGGGACACACACTCCATGTGTCCCAGCAGACTAAACCACAAACTAAGCCTCCAAACTAGATAGTTATACAAGCACGGTATCTATTTACAGTTAAAGCATGAAAGTAAATACAAGGAAATTATATGAAAGGAAGCAAATTTGACATCAGTATCTCAAAGACAAAAGTAAAAGCACTAATTAGCAGATATTTGTGTCTCTGCATCGCAGCCATACAGTTTATGAATGTGGCTTACTACCCAAGTAAAGAAAAAAGTACATTTTTAGCTGGTAAATTTGCACTGCGCCCTCTCATATAAGGTAAAATGAAAGAAAAAACAACTGGACAATGGCCAAAACGCCAACAAAATAAAGCTTCAAAATGCATCCAGTACCAAAGTGTGACGTCACTGTGGCTACATCCATGTTTTAGAAGAACTGGTCTGAGATATTTAGGAGTGAGCAGAAGCAACTTATGCATGTTAACTATGGGTAGGAGTGGCTGTAACTCTGGTTTCCTCCAGAAATGTTGATTAGTTAATCGGCTATAAATTATCCTTAAGTTTGAATATGAATGCAAATTAACTGATGACCAGAGTCGACGCCACCTCAAGCCCGGTGTCCATCCACCCATTTGTTAATCCTGAATTAGGTTACCAAAATATATAGATGGGATTTTTAAAAAGTCAAAAATATTGTATTATTCAGTGCTTCCTGGAGTCCCACAGCTCACAGATGGGTAGTTTGCTAATTTTAAAGTTTGTCCTCATAAAAGCTCAAAAGATCAGAAAACGGCTCAGAGCTCAGAGGGATGTGCGGTCTTGTAAGCAATCATGTCTTTAAGGGTTGCTTGTGAAGAAGGGCTCTTTAATATTGATAGGATCATATGGTTTATTGATGAAATCACAGCCAGGACTTTTAAGTGCTGCTCTGCTCGTCCTGTGGTGTCGGACAAGCCGCTCTCTGCTATCTGCCTGTCTGCTCATTTTCCCACCGAGTCTCTGAGGAACTGTCAGCTTTATTAATCACAAGAGAAAACCGGTGTTGCTCTGACGAGGTGTTAATTGGTTCGAATCGAACAGTTATTAAGTCTAATTGCACAATGACCCGAGAACAAGGGAATTTAAGCGTCATAGTTTTTGCGTTATTCATTTTCCTGCAGCATTTCATCAGGTCTCACGTGCAACCTGTCTCAATCCTGTGTTTGTAATCTGAAGGTCAAGTGTCCTTCAGAGTGAAGTGTTAATGACATTGGAGTCCAATATATTGATTTCCCATCTTTTTCTTGACAGATAAGACTTTCATGTCAACAATTCCTGCTGTAGCACTCCAGCATAATTGTGTGAGTCATTCACCCCAGCAGCAGCGGCCCATACAGTCAATACACATCTATTTATAGAAACCCTAATTAAAGCACTGCTTTCACAATTGGATTTAAGAATATTAGACAATTTCTTTATTCTTATTGGACTAAGGTAATTTCTTTACAGTATAATTATCATGCTTATGTTAAAAAAAATGCCAGTCTAAATATTAGACTTTGATTTATCACAGTGCCTCACGCACTTCAAGATAATTCCATCTTCAGCTCTAAAATGTTGGTAAATTTCATGCCTGTCGTCAGGACCTCAAAGAAAAAAATCAAACACCAAGTAGTAGAGAGTTTACAGAAGAACGGCCAACACTACAGAATTCTCCATCAGCAGCAACTTCAACAGAATAGCGTTTATTGATTTTTATTTGCTGTGAAATACAGTTCCCACTTTGATATTTTCTTCATTTATGCAACTTGACGGGGTAGATATTGCATTGATCGTTTTCCCGCTCTCTCCAGGCTTGCTGCACTTCACTCTACCTGCCTGCACTTCAGCAGCATTGAGCAGTAAAAGTAGATTCACATTATACACACATTTTAAGATATCATCACAAAATTCCTTGTAGACACCCTAAGCATCAAGCAGTGAGGATATCTAAGAAACCATCTGTGGATTTCTCCATCGGGATGAAAGCACAGGCTCCTTGCCGTCAGTGCAGCATCTTTTTGCATTTTCCTCCCTGAGGAGCTCAGACTGGCAAAGAGAAGCTTTCAAACCACTGCTGTAGACATGCTTTTACACATACAAAAGTTCATATATTTTTTCTTTCTGCTATTAGTCACGTAGGATTGTGGGTTTTGCTGCCTTATACTTTGTTCTCTGGCTGTGGCCAAGCTCTGTTTCTTCCTGATGTCAGAGACTAATGCCGACTTCAGCCTACAGCATATCAGCTTAACACAGGCTGGTTATTCGTGTCCGGAAAGAAACCAGAGTGTCAACTTACCAGTGTGCCTCATATAATGTGGCATAATGGATAAAAGCTAAAGCCAATTCATGGGCAGACCAATATTATCGGCTGATATCCGGTGTTTAAGTCTGACGTCATCCAAACTCCGCTTCAGGTCCCAAAGTCAAACAAACACTGCGGCATCACTGAGAGTTACAAACTGCATAAATTCTTTCATCTTTAATAAAATAATCAGTGTTGCTGCTTTACCAGGTGTAACAATTAAGTTTAAAATCCAGGCATCCATGAAAACAGAATTTATGAAGTTTAATGGAGTTAGATGTTAGCAGGG